AGAGTCTTCTGAAGGCCATGGAAACATTCCCATTTATTTCTTGGGACTTGAGACCATACTTTAGGGCCTGATCCAGAACAGAGAGCTCCTCTTTCAAGTTGGGAATCTCTAACCTGCATCTTCCCATTTAATGTCCTTTCTTGTCTCAGGAAAGTTGTTTCAGTTCATTGCTTCAGTTTCTCCCATTCACTTGCTTCCCTTTAATAATCTAACATTAATACATATTATGCCTGCAGTAACCTTATTATGGAAAACATTAAGTGAACTCATCCAGATGGTTAAGAACACTGAAAATGAAGATGAGACTGTTGGGCACCATAGTGACAATGAGATGACAGTAGCTGTATGAAAACTCAGAGGCAGATTTAGGCAGAGAGGATGCTAAGAAACTGCCTGGTTTGGTGATGAAATTTCTCTTCTGTACACTGGATTTGAAAGTCCTGCTGTGCAGGTGCCAGACATCCTGTGATGTCCTTGACATGCGGGGTTCCTTTGGCATGAGACCTCTGGACTGTCTCTGCTTCCTTTGGCCTGCTCCCTCTCTGCTCAACGATGCTGGCTCATGTGTTTCTTCCAGCCTTTCTTTTTCTAGTTTTTCCCCTTTCTTCATGCTCCCTTCCTGTTTCCCTCAGGTCCCATCTTGGCTTTATTATTCTCAAAATGCTGAAGTTTTCAGATATCCTTCCATTAATGTGACCGTGTACAGGGTTGCGTGCTTTGGAAGGCTGCTGCCCACCACACTGCGCAGGATCGATGTCATCAACTAATGACTCAAAATTCAATACTTCGTTTCATGCGACTTCCTCGGTATATGATCCATTTCTCATCTTTTTGTCCACTTTTCAGATTTTGCTTTGACTACGGGTTTGCATCTACTTGTGTGTATCACTCTTCAGCATGGTATCTGACTGCTTCCTAAACTATTTCTTATTTTCACATGGCTAAAAGGCAAAGCTAGTGGCGTTGTTCTCGCCATGCACATGAGAAGCTGGTGCATATACCAGTGAGGGTCAACTGTCTCTGCTAGGTTTAATGGCCACTTTCAGATGGTTTTTTCCTTTCTCCAGCACCAGCCTTTGGCTCACAGGAATCCCCTGCTCATTTGCTGTGTGCACTCCAGCTTTTGCAACAGGTAGGGCCATAGAGTGTGGAACTGCTAAGCAAACACTGATGGCAAAATTGGTCCCTGCCAAAATCAGCCAATAGTCCAGCATCAGGGGTGGAAATATGGCTATGCAGCAGCTTTAGCTCTCATGCTTCCCATCTTTCTTTCGCAGCCCTAGTGGGAGAGGAATGGAATAAATGTGTTTTTCATGGTCTTCAGAAAGGAGAACTGGGACGGGGGGGAAATACAGTTTTGTGGCTGCACTTCCTTGTGGCCACTGGGCCAAGACTGGAAGTGTGAGATTCACCTCACTGATGTCTGTCACCGTGTTTGTTGGCAGCTGTGTTGCCGCAAATGGCAGCAATAGCAGGCTGTAGCCTTCTGTGAGCCATCAGTGCAGGAAGATAACAATAGTTTCCCAACAGGGATGCTGAGTCGGGAATAATGGGTCTGATTCACAGAAGTGTGGTTGGTGGCCATGAGTACTTTCCACTCCCTTTTCTCTGCAGACCTTTTCCTTTTATCCAGGGTCTCCCCTGTCCCCCACGACTGCAGCAAATCCTTCACACTTCCCCATCTCATATTCTTTCCCTTCTACCTGGGGCCAGCCTGGGAGATCTCCCAGTCTCTGTTCCAAGATCAGACATCGTACGGCTTTTTTGCAGGAGCAGCAAGGACATTTCTTCTTGGCCGTGCAGCTGTAGGGAAGAGCAGATTCCCCTCACATGATACATGGTGTTTGATTTACCAAGGGGGAAAGGAGGGGAAAGTATGTTCCCTGCATACAAGAAGCCCAGATGATTTCGTTGCTAAGCTCTGAATCTCTATTGAGCCTGTGTGTCCAGCAATTTTCAAGTACTTACTGCTTGGCCAAATTTGAGGTGATTTTCTTGAAGGACGAAGGACATACAACGTTTCTATTTGGGAAAAATAAAGGAGCGGTTAAAGACTCTAAGTTAAATAGTTGGGATTCTTCTTTATGTGAGTAAATTCCTTTTTTTCCCCCCTAATTTTGTCTTTGGAAATAGGTTTTAAAACCTTTATTCCAAAACCAAAACTAGTAGGAAATTATATGAGTGTTTGTGCAGCCTGGTGAGGTTTGGGTGACAAACATCAATTGAAAACAGGCTTAAGCAGAAAGTATTAGGATGTGTTACCTTCTAGCATTACTACTACGACCTACAATACCTGTGGGGAGAACCTTCAGTGTTGGCTTCATCCGGTCGAACGATGAAAGAGTCAGCTGAATAGCAGAACTAGCTGAAAACCAGTGCTGTATAAAACTTCTTGCAAAGGCTTAACTGGATTGGAAAGCCCAGTTGTCAATTTTTCTGCATTTTACAAAGGAATTGAGGTCTTTCCAAAGTGAGTGTGACATACTGGGATAAAGCAGAGCATTCTTGTTTGGTAGAATTGTACCTTGGTCAGGCAGTTTGCTTATTACATTTGTAGAGGACACTAAGATGGGGGAGACCCACTGGAAGGCAAGTCTGTATTTTAAGTAATCTAATAATGATGGAGGTTCAATCTGGGGGAAAAAAAGTGTGATTTGGTAAAAAGAAGAATTGCATTTGGACAGGAAAAATCAGTGGTGTAAACACACCCTAGGAAGTGGCTGGGTCCTTTGCAGTTCAGCAGCATGAATCTAAGGATTACAGTGGATCACAAGATGAGTTAACAGCGTGAGTCTTGTGAAGAAGCCAAGATCATATCCTGAGATGTATGAGTAGAGGCATAGTCTGTGAGACGCATCAAGATTATCCTTCCACTGTACTCAGCATCAGTGAGATCTTGATCTGAGTTGGGTCTATAAAGAGCAATGAGAAGAGTCGAAGTCTATAAAACGTGGTTTGCAAGGAAAGACTGAGGGTGTTTTAATGAGAAGGGGAGATTGTAATGGCATTTAAGTTAGATATTATGGGGAAAAGTAAAAGAAAAAAATGCTTCAAGTGAAACCCATTTCCATTTCCTGGAAAGATGGTGGAGTTTCTGAGGCTGGAAATCTGTAAGATCAGGTCAGGTAAACATCTCTCAGGAGTGATGTGGATGTAGTTAATCTTGCCTGGAGTTCAGGGGAATGGGCTAGATGATGCCACATGGTCTTTCAGGCTTTACAGCTCTCTGATGTCCAGGTGTCTTCCCAAAGCACAAGGCAATGGGAATATAAGCTCTGAGCCCTGCTCTTCATGTTTTTGCAGATCTGACTAATCCCATGTGGTGTAAGCGTTCTTGAGGATTTGCTCTTACAGAGTTCCCGGTGTCTCTGCAGCCAGACATGTTTGGTTTGGGGGGACGTAACGCCAAAGTTACTCTAGTCTGGAGGCTCGAGTGGGATGTTGTGTGGGGGCGAGTGCCGGGGAGGGAGAGTATGGCACTTAGAGGAGGTGAGGTGGGACAGGAGATCAAAAAGCAATTGGTGTGAGGTCAGAACAGGTGTTAGGAAACCCCCTTTTCAGATACAGCCCATTTCAAGCGTTGGAGAGGACCAGTGTGTAAGTCATATCCAGAGGTAGGAATGATCTAGCAGTTCTTTCCTCTCTTAAACCTAGAGAGGGGAAGAGTGGTCTCAGCTGCAGCTGCTATTTGTGGTCTCCTTTAAGCAACACTTCAGTTTATATACCCTGCCTGGGAAAGCCCAAGTCTTTCAACCTTAAGGTTTCCAAAACATGTAGCAGCTGGCCAGACCCAGCCACTCGCTGCTGTTGGAGTTGAAGGTCAGAGTTGTTCCTGAACCCTCTTCCTGCTGGAGGAGCAGTGGCAAAGGCTCCTGTGGGAAAGGCTGCTGAGTCAACCACAGAGTGTGCGGCTACCAGCGAGGCAGAGGAAAGCCCCCACGCTGTAAAAATAGCCACACTAGGAGCCCTAATATACTTAAGTGCTTATTTTTCCATGTGTGATCTCATGCAAACCAAGCTGCTGGGCAGTATGACATAGCAGTTGGCCAAAAATAAAATGTAACTCAATCAAAATTTTTTTTTTCTGAAGTTAACCTTTGATAGGTGGAAGGGACAGGTACCCTGTTTTCTCATTTCCATTAAGTTATCGTTAGAAAAAAAAAAAATCCAGGGGGTAAAGACAGGTGAAGATGGGATTGATGCCTGGTATCCATTTTGTGATGATGGGCACAGGTTAAGGATAGGAATTGTAGCTCTCTTGCACGGGAAAGTTATACCTATAATACAGTGAGAAAATGTACATGGGATTTCTCTGGGTGCTGCTTCTGCTGATTTCATTGAACTGAGTTTTGGTGGGCATTTGGTGCTGCAAAAAAAGGTATAGAATTGACAGTATTTGAAGCTGAAGCCCATGAAGGAGACTGAGTACCAACAGCCTTGGAACAAGGTGCTATAATCCCTGTTGATAAGCCTCAGAAAAACACCTTCAGAGGTTCATTTTCCTTCACTGTTTAATGTTTGGCCTGTTAAGTGATTTTTTTTTTTTTTTTTTTTTTTTTTTTTGGTCAATTGGGGTAGATCTGTATTATGGAAGGTGGGCTGAAACCACAAAACCCCTTTGACAAAAGCCACTGAAGGCCTGGAGACGCTGGTAGTTTGAGCACTGTCCTGCCAGAGCTAGCATTACACTCTTGAGGAAGAAGACTGGCTTACAAATCCCTTGCCAGGGAAGAAACACCCAGACCTAAAGGACTAGGATTGCTTTCACCCAGCCTTGAAAACAGTGAAGAACCTTTGTAATCCTAAATTTCACATGCAGAAGTATGTGCATCTCATGGCAAAACTCTGGATAAAACCAGGCAGATTTGGGAGATATTTTTTTTTTCCTAGCTATTAACATCACTTTTACTTATTTCAGGTTTTCTTGTTACTGTAACAGTGAAAGCTGGGGGAGAAAATCGCAGATATCACCATCTTGTCATTACGCTTCTCCTCTGCAGGGCCTCTGACCTGTTTCTGCTGGACACACGGGCAGTGTGGGCCTCGGAAGAGGGCTGGCTGGAGTTTGACGTCACTGCCACCAGTAACATGTGGGTGATGAACCCTCAGCACAACATGGGACTGCAGCTGAGCGTGGTGACCCGGGACGGTAGGTTACAGGGACAGTTAATGCTGTAACCTTGCGAGTCTCTTGGATGCTGTCTAGAAGCGGTGCTAGCAGAATCCAGTTGTGATGTGGGGGGCTGTAGAGCCAACACCTTGAGGAAAGCATCTTGAGGGCTGTCAGCTTCTTGGCTGTCCCATGACAGACATGTCTTTCCCCACGAGTGAAGTCAGGAGTCTCTGAACAGTACCAGGATGAGGTGGTGGAGGCAGGGCTGGGGTAGGGTTCCTGAGCTGGAGGTAGAAGGGGGCATGGAGCTGAGATCCCAGGTGGGGTGAGGTTTAGAGGTGAGAGAAAGGGAAGAGGGCAGGTATATGGGTATGTGCTTCCCCATGTGGGCTTATGGCAGCCCTGCTGGCTGCTGCGGCTGCCATCACTGCTTGGATCTTGTCAAACCTGAGGCGAGAGCCCTGCACGGAAGAAGTGATGCGGTCGCTGTGTGGGGCTGGTCCCTCCAAGGGTGGCTGCAATGATAGCATTTCACAGCCCACAGAGACTTCAAAAGGAGGAAAAGGAGAGATGAGACTGCAAAAGAGCATGAAATTGAGTGTTGGAAGATAAACAGTGGGGAAGGAGAGGATCTGGATGTGCAGAAAGTGACCAAAAAGATGACGGTGACATCTTTCCTCTATAGGAACCAGTCTCCAACTTTATGTTTTCTTCCTATTGCTTCATGCTGGCATTTAGTATACCTGTGGGGTCAAGTGAGACCAGAGGGGCTGTCCACTGTTCTCCCTGAGCAAATGTTAGTGCCAGCCTCACCCTCCCCAAATGGGCTGAGAGTCCGTCCTTGTGCTCCTGACAAAAGCATCTCATCTCTTTGCCCTCTGCTTTCCCTAGAGGTCTCCTAATCCCATCTCTGCTTCTTGTGTTGCACGGGCAGCAGAACTAATTCCATGACACATCTGGGCTTTGTGTTTTATATATCTGTCTGCATACCTCTTCAATGCCTAAACCAGAGTAGAGATGCCAAAGGGAGACCAAAAGAGCCAGGTGCTGCAGTGGAGCCTCTTGTCCAGGATGGATGGAGTGCTGTCATAAAAATGTCCATAGGTCATGGTGGCAGGAGGGGAGTGGTTAGTCATAAATGAAGAAGAGTGTGAGCAAGAAGAAAGGAAACGCTGCTCATGGGAGTGCTGCGATTCTGGAAGGAGCAATCCAACAGCACCATTTCTCTAAGACTCACTTTTCTGTTTGATTTCAAGGTTTCAGCGTAAATCCTCGAGAAGCAGGCCTTATAGGCCGAGATGGCCCTTACGACAAACAGCCTTTCATGGTGGCCTTCTTCAAAGTGAGCGAAGTTCATGTTCGGACCACAAGGTCGGCGACAAGCAGGCGCAGGCAACAGAGTCGCAACCGCTCCACCCAGGCTCAGGATGTTTCCCGGGTGTCCAGTGTCACAGGTAATCATCCTTTTGACTGGAAGCTGGGGCGACTGCTTGTAACGTTTCTGTTTGCTTTGGAGTGCAAAAGCAAGAAGGGGGATGTGGGGTGGGGATGCTCTTCCTTGGGGGAACAGGTTACACCTGCAAAGGGATGGGAGAGGGACTCTCACATAATGAGACTTAGAGGAGTCCTCTTGAATCCAGGGTGGCATCCAGACCTCTGTGTGAAGTCACAGCCCTTGAATTCAGGGGGGTGAGGCATTTTAACTCGGAATTTTGCATTTGTAGGTTGCTTGCTACGCAGTATTTGCCTAGAATTACGCCACATGAAATGCAGTGTTTAAAAGCTTCCATCTCTGTGTACACTGAGATTTACGGTATTGCACAGACACTTTTCCAGCAGAGTCCTCTTTTGGGTTTCTTTGGAAAAAATCTCGTAGAACAGCATGAGGTCCTTTTTTTTTTTTCTCTCTGTGAGAACAGCAGTGGATACACGGTGAAGCGCGTTTCCAGGCAGGCAAAGAGGCTTGCCTATTTGCTGTGGAAAGGTTGCATGTTGCAAGTGTTGTACAGCAGCCTTGCGAGAGCTGTTGTGGGCTGGTGGGATAACAGGATAACTCTGAAATTTTGACAGAAATTAAGTGTCCTGTCTTCTAAGTCTTATCTGTTCCCAGCCACTCTGCCCTGCATCACAGTGCTACAAGTCCTTTGCTCACTAAGTACCTTCTTTCCTCTCAAACATTTCAGCCAGTTCCAAGTTAACTAGATTAATTTGCTTATGCTGCCCCCTTCATTTCCAATAGGATCCCTGCTCTTCCCACGTCTAGAAATGACTATACCCCAAGGAAGAGAGGCGGCTGTATTTTTTAGTCTGGACACAGCACGAGGAGATGAGCCAGCATTGCCGAGACTTAGCTGGTATGAATCTGTAGGCTGACCCCTGCTCTTGCCTGCTCGGGTTGTGGGTGAGCCACGCTGCATCCGAGGTGGCTCCATGCTGGCCATGGTGCTGGGAGCCTGCAGGGAGCCAGAGCCAGGTCCGGAGCCCCTCCAGGGATGACGGCCAGGCTTTGGGCATGGCCATGTGCCAATGCAGCCCTATTGCTCCAGCCCAGCATGGTGATGGACTTGCCTTTTGGATTAACGTGTCCCAGCAGCAGTTGGCCACTAGCAGCTGTTGCCTGTCCTCGTGGTGCATGTGGCAGCGTGGCTGTGCATCCCTATGCCATGCCGTGCAAATGCCGGGCTTGGTTGGGTGTAAAATGTCTCCTCATGGATTTTAAGGGCAGGAGGAGCAACTCAGTCCTGTAGCCTGACCTCCCCGAGGGAGGCCGGCCAGTTACCATCAAATCTGGTGTGAGAGCCCTCTGCCAGCCTCTCAGGTGGACCCATCTGTCGGTCCCAGTTGCCGAGACCCACTTCCCTCCTGGTTTTCCTTGGGGCCTCCAAGCTACAGTTTTAAAGGCAGGCATCGCAGCTGCTCGCTGGGTTACTTTCCCATGTGATGGGCTTGCCAAGGTGATCGGTAGTTTATTCATTTGGGCGTTACAAGCAATGAGCCCAGCCATTTATGCAGGCAGCGTGCAATTCTCCCACTCAGGTGGGCTCGGCCGCTGCGCTCCCTTCATCACGACTGCCAATTTTTTAATGCATTCCCAGTGCTTTGGGAAAGTTACTTGCTGCGTTGCTGATTTGTGGCACTGGTAGTGGAGTCAGGATAGGCTCCAACTTTCTCTCCCTAGCTCCGCAAGCTTTGCAGTGCTAAAAACAAATTTTCACTACTATTAAATCAGGCGGTGTGACTCAGAGCTCCAGAGGGAGCAGATATATTGGGCAAAAAGGGCCATTTTTACATTGCTGCTTTCTTGACTACACCACACATCAGGTCGTAAAATTATAAAATGACAAAAAGGGAAAAAAATAGCTGGTCATTCTGCGGTCTCAAGGGGTTTTTTTGAGCTCTTCTAGCTCAAAGCCAGCTTTAATTTAAAACCTGGAATTTGGCAGTTCAGTAGTCAACAAGGTATAGTTGAGCCTCTGTGGATTTAAGGCGGAGGAAAGGAGGGGAATTTAAAGTTAAGATGTATGTTTGGTTGGTTTCTGTGTTTAGAAAAGAGAGACTGCGTCAGCTTATTTTCCTTTCTAAGTGTGACACTCTTAGACTCTGTTCGCCTTAAGAAGTGGTTGATTTAATAGCCCAAGAGGCACCGATGACCGATACGTGTTTTTAGCGTTAAAGACATCCCAGGGATTTTTTCTTTTTCAGTTGTGTGGGTTCCTTCATCTGTGCCCTGATGATGCGTGACGGGGCTGGGGAAGTGTTCGCCCCAGGATGGAGCTGGATGTGAGGCTGGGGGTTACCCTGAAGGCTGCCTTGCTCTTCTGAGGGTGCCCTGATGCATCTGGACCCAAAGTGGGTGCAGAACTGGGATGCTGCAGTCCCCTTCAGTGCATCACCCTGCCGGCACATCTTCCTCTCTCGCTGTATCTTGTGTCTTGTCTGATTTTTGGTCTGTGCTCTTCTCTGAGCCAGGATTGCCACTGCCTGTGAGGGCTTGAGGGCAGTTTCTCTCCTGGAGAGCAAGGCAGCTGGCTGGTGTTGATGGTTTTTTGGAGCTTGAACCTTCCTTCCTCTATGTTAGTGAATATACAGGGGTTTCTTTCTTCAGTCCAAAGGCTAACCCCATTCCCAAAACATGCTGTGAGTGGGGTTGGGGCAGTATGTTTAAAAAAGCCCCATTTACTATCTAAATATGGAAAGCATTTCAAGTCCTGCAGTTTGGAGCACGTGAAGTGTGCTGCTGGGCACTGGCTCTGGTGAGCCATGGGGTTACGTGAAGGCATGCTGCTACGTGCGGGATTGGGACCCCACTGTGCTCCCTTTGATGTGCAGTTGCTGTCCTGCAGTCAGTACCAAGTGCTCAGATGCTAAGGTTATGGCTGTGGCATAAGAATCTCAATGGTCTCTTATTTTTTCGCCAAGAATGCTCATTTCCCTGTATTATAAACACGTAATTATGACTGGCTTATATAAAGCAGAACTGAGGAACCCCCATGGTTATAAACTGCTTTGACATAGAGTCCTGCGTCAATGCATTCCTGGAGCCAAACTCTGTTCTTCTGCAGAAGGAGGATGAACAGGAAGAAAAGGAAGTATTTTCGTCTGTTGAGGCAGAAAATCATACACCAGCTCTGGCTCAGGACGTGGAGGAATGAGGTGGGTGGGAGGAGCGTGCAGGTGTTTCTCTCCTGTTGTCTGCAAGATCTGGAGGCCCTTGCTCGGCCCTGTCTTGCGGTGGGTTTAGCTCTCAGACTCCAGGCTGACCCTCTAGTTAATCCAAAGAGATGGGGACTCTCTTCAACGAAACAGGCAGTGACCCTCAAGCTAAGAGCTTTGCTGCCGTACGGCCAGCTCCTCTGTGAGTTATCTAAATGCTGGTTTCCATGTGGGGCTGTCTCCTTGCCCAGTGGTGATAAACCCTCCTCTTCTGCAAGTCAGCCTTCAGGCACACCTCTTCCCACCAGCCCCTCCTTACGGAGACAGTCGCATTTAAATATCTGACTTTGGACTGCACTTGCTGTTCTGAGTGAAACTCATGCAACACCCCTTTTCGGGTCTTTCTCTTTAGCCACGCCAGGGCCTCTGGGACTGGTGTGAGGTGCTCCATGAGAAATGGAGGGGCCCTCCAAGTGGCCTTTCCTTCTGGCAGACACGCACGGCACCAGGCAGATTTCCCCACGTGTACAGGAACCGAATACCGCAAAGGGAAGCACGCACAAACGTTGGAGGCAAATAAGGCTAAATGCTTTCGCAGTGGCAAGGGTCTTGTTAATAAACATCCGTTATCTCGCAGCCGATCTTCCCTTTAGTAGAGCGCTCGGATGGAGACCGGAGCAGTGTGGCCGGAGTTTCTGTATCTGCCTTCACATGCGGGTCCACGTCAGCCCGGCATCTCCCCTTCTTCCCACCCAAGCGGATCGCTTTCATGTGAAGTGGGCTGTTATTAACTGCGTGATCAGTTTACACCAGCTTTATCCGGACAAATCACCAAAGTCAAACACCAAGAAGAAGGTGCTGGCCTTGGAGACCTCTGTCAAAGCTATTTTGGTCCACAGAAGCAATTAATTACCTTGTGGAATTTGGTAAGCTAGCACCTTGGGAGCAGCAAGGGTGTTCTCAGATGGATCGACCTCAGTAAATATTTATATATTCTTTGCCAGCACTTAACGTGGGAGAGGTTATAGGAAATCTAAGGTGGGTGCATAAGTATCTGTAGGAGGAAGACCATTAGGATCAGGCTATTCTCTCTCCCCTTTCAGCAACACAAATGCCAGTGTCCAGCCTTAAGAGAAACATCTGTGCTCGCAAAAAGTCAGGCTTGGATTCTGGTGAAGGCAGGCAACGTTCAGCGCAGACAAGCCGCAGCAACAAGCCATCTTAACTGTGCTGTTTTAACTGTGCTGCCCTAGAAGTTATTTTTAAGTGCAGAGCTAGGGGTCTGGGTTTTTTTAAAAACTCTGTTTTAGACAAAATAGTTTGCAATAGGATTAAATGCAGTGCCTTGTAAATGCCAAGATAGTGTTTCTGAACTGGTACATTCGGGGCGGGAAAAAAAAAAAAAAAGAGACGATTTTGCTTAAAGCCACAATGAGCCTCTAGGAGCTCCCAAAGCAGCTCCCTAAACTTGCAGAGATTTTGAAGGTCTCTGGCAAGCAATCCTTGCGAATTGTGTTGGGGCAGCATAAGCCAGCCCTGCCAGAGTTGTTTGCAGCGTCCCCCTGCTGCAGGCTGCCTCCCCTCAGCCCTCCTGGCTCCCTGCTGCAGGGCTGCCGAGGAGGGGCACGTACCCTCTTGCCTCTTGGGACGTTGGGGTGTGCACTGCAAACCACCTCAAACAGCAATTTGGGCTAAAACAGTTGAGCACGGTCGACGAGGGTAGCTGGTACTGCTGTCCAGGCTTTGGAGAAAATGTGTCGTGGAGGCCAACTTCAGCAGCTCAGCGAGCTTTAGCTCACCGCCAAAAACCCTTTACTGTGTGGATTCCCCTTTTTTTCAGGCCCATAATTGGATGTACGTGGCTCTAGGGCATATGCCGTGCCCTAGGCTGTAGGGAATGGATCATTACCCTGTGCATCTCCATTGCTGCATTTTTTGCCCCCATTCATAAAGCCACTGCTAAGGGTTGATTAAAGGTTTGTAACACCCCTGAAGTTGGGCTGAAGTTGATTCCATATGTAGGCATGGTAGGCAAACAGGTAACAAGAAGAGAGGGCAGGGGAGCCTGGGGTGAGGGTTAAAGAGGGGAGAGTGCAAATCCTGGGAGGGGGCATGTTTAATATGTTGGTATTTAAGAAAGCAAAGGCTGAGTTTGGGCAAGCGAGGAGGTAGAGCAGTCTGTGTCTACCGTGGATGGGAGAGTAGCTGGTGCTCGATGCAGAGTGTGAATCGGGTGACTCGATTGCCAACCAGTGAACCAGGGCACATTTTGGGGGGGTCCAGCTTCAGGCAGTGTGAGAGAGGACATGTTCATAGCATGTTCTGCTTCGTGTAGCTTGTTGAGCAGCTCTTTTTTTCCTTTGTTTTCTTAAACTTGTGATTGCTCACAGCCTTTCTTCCCGTTCCTGTTTTCTCTGCCTCCCTTCCTTTCTCCCCTTTCCCATAGCTGATTTAGGTAAATTGTAGCTGGATTTGGAATGTAGCGTAGTTCTGCCCGCTCGGTTGTGCATAGAGCAACTCCACTGTAACTCCCTGTCAAATACCAATGGTTTTTCCCAAAGCAAACAACATTATTTCCCATTGAAGAACTATGAAGTTGTGTTTTCAGGTACTTAAATGAAAGCCTTTGGCCACTGAAAGTATCTTCTGCTCATTTTTTTCCCTTGTTGTGACCAGATCATTTAGAAACATTGCATGCTAGAAGTTTGCTCCTGGGCTGAGCCAGGGACTGAAAAGCTTCATCTGAAAAAACCCCACCACACCCTGGTTTCTACTGGGTATGTCTGGTTTGAAAATGGAAAGCTGGATTAGAGAAAGACTTGCCTCCATCCTTGCTACCGAGTGCTCCTGAGAGAGCGAATGTTTATGCTGCAGCAGGCTGTTAACCAGCTCTGCTCACCTGATTAAATCTGTGATTGAAGCGAAGCTATTGAAAGTCTGAAATGCAATCCTTAAAGTTTAAAACCCAAGCTGCTTCTAAAAACAACTCTCTAATCTTTGGTGGTTTGGAGGCTAGGTTTGAGGTGTAGGGTTTTTTCAGACCTCAGTGTTAACTGTACCCAGCTGTAACGCTGTGCTGCCCTTAATGGCAGTTGGATGTGCTTTTAGTATTATAGTTTTTCTTTTGAATAAATATTTGCATTTGTAGTTCCCAAACTTGGGGGGGGGGGCCGGGGGGGGACGGGTGGGGGTGTGGGGAGAAAGGCATGTGGCATCTGCCTGCTGACGGAAGCGCCTTTACTTGCAAATGAGGCGTGTGAGAGGAGAGGAGGCCCCCATGGGTAAGGCACCGGAGGAAAACACGGCCCAGTCTGAGTCCAGCTCTGGGACGCGCTCACATGTGTCACTGCATGGACAGGGACCCGGGCTCCCATGCTGCTCAGCCCAGTTTGCCGCCATCTCTTCCTCTCGTGCTTCCCATCGGGCACGAAGCGCCGGTTCGGCAGCCATAGCCGGGGGCCAAACCGCCCCCCTGTGAAGGGGGTTTCTGCGG